ATTTCGACAAATCGGACCTCGCTGACACGTCAAATTTGGGCTAAAAGGCAAAAACTGCGGAAAAGTGTTAAGTTGCGTAGTTTTTGCCTTTTAGCCCAAATTTGACGTGTCAGCGAGGTCCGATTTGTCGAAATTCGGAATCTACGCATACGATTCCCTGATATGGAAATATTTTCGAAGCTCTACGGCCTTTCCTAAGGCCTTTTCCAGCAAAAAAAAGGTGCGCAAATGTCCAGGTGCGCAAAAAAAAGGTCGCATTTGTCCCACCCCCAAGAAGATTTTTAGGTATTAAATGATTGAAAACAAAAGATATTAAATCTATTTCTTTTTCTATTTCTTTTTCTATTTCTTTTTCTATTTCTTATTAAATAGTCAAGTGTTTTTAATCAATTTTTCAATCTACAGGGTGACCAAGAATTACCACAACACACAAAAGGTCCGGCTTTTAACCAAATTTTCAAACCATCACGAAAAGTTAACTTAAATAACCTTATTCAACATTTAACAGTAACAAATTAACAATTAAATTCAAATTTGCCTCCATCGGGATTCAGACAAGCCTGTAAACGTTTGGGAAACGCGTTGACCGTGGCGAGTACCGCGGCGTAGGCATCATCGATATCCCGTGCTTTGATCAGCGCTTTCTTCAAACTTTCGATATTTTTATGTGGTTTTGTACATTGCCCTGGCTTCAAGAATATTCCAGACTGAGTAATCCAATGGGTTAAGATGAGGGTGAGCTGGGTGGCCACTCAGAAAACGAGAGCAAGTCCGGGAAGTCCGGGAATCGCTTGCCCTTCGCAGCGGCTGATAGTAATTAAGATTTGTTCTTCTTGTACGGCTTCATTTTCAGCTTTTTCTTGAACAAGAACACTCCAGACTGAGTAATCCAATGGGTTAAGATGAGGGTGAGCTGGGTGGCCACTCAGAAAACGAGATCAAGTCCGGGAAGGTCTTTGAACAAAACTCTTGCACTTTCTTTGCCTGTATTCTTTTTCGAACAATAGTTTACGGGGATTGAAGCTTGTTCGTCTTGTAGATTAGCAACTTACAAGTCGGTCACTGAGCCTGAGCAACTTTCATTTGATGCTTTGATCTCATGCTTTGATGAGCGCCTTCTTTAAACTTCTTCAAACCCAACTCCATCTCTTTTTACCCCCTTTCCCCTCTTTTTACTATATGAATACGAAAAGTAAACACTTTTTTTTCAATTTTCAAATGCATAAGAGATTTTTGAAGTAAAGAGAACGGTTTAGAGATTCTTGGGAAAAAGAAAGCCAAGAGATTTCTCTGGGATTTCCTTGAATCTCTAAAGCTTCAGGGTTTAGAGATTCAAGAACTCTTCACCTTCAGCGTATCGCTTACATTCCCCGATTGAATCCTAAATGAACGTTCACCTTGAATCTCTCCAGTTACTAGTGAGCACTGTTCCCCGAATACTTGCCTAGCATTTGGCATTACTTTTCGCACAATGTCTTCCGCTTTTAACCACTTTTAACCGCTTTTTAAAGTCCGCGGATCAAAAATGACATCAAATTGTTAATTATCGTTTACGAAACACAACTCATGTTTCTTTTCTAGTCTCTACCCCAATTACCCAATCGAGAGTGACACTCACCTCAACAACGCTCGAAAGGACACCGATTACGAGCGGCCTTCGCGCGCCCACGAAACTCCATCCACCGTCGAGTAGGACACCGTCTGGGTGAGGAAATTGAGATTATGTGTAAGCTGTAACTAGTCCTGGACCTGGACCTAGACTCCAAGCTCAGGTCCTGGACCTGGACTTCAAGTTCAGGTCCTGGACCTGGACTTCAAGTTCAGGTCCAGACCTAGACCCCAAGCTCAGATCCAGGTCCAGACCTAGACTCCAAGCTCAGGTCCAAACCTGGATCTAGATCTGCTTCTCGCTCTGGTCTGTACATCTACTGTATAACTGGACAACCATGTTAACTCCGCTCCTTTTTCAGTCTGTTTTCCATTGGTAATCTATGAATTTTACTTGTATCTTGACCGCGTTTATCTGAAAAACGTTGAATTTGCTCTCATTTGATAGAAAAATTCATTTCGAGTCGAATGAGAGAAAATTCAACGTTTTTCAAATAAATCTGACTAAGATACGAGAAAAATTCGTAGATTACGGCAAACGGAGAAAAAGGAGCGAAGTTAACATGCTTAAGCCTGGGATCGTCAAAAGCAGATCTACTGTAGGCCTGGGCCACAGTAGACCAACCTGATCCTGAGCCTGGGCCTGAGCCTTAGCCTGGACCCGATCCTGAGCCTGGGCCTGAGCCTTAGCCTGGACCCGATCCTGAGCCTGGGCCTGAGCCTTGGCTTGAGCCTAAACCCAAGCCTAAGCCCAAGCCTGAGCCTAGAGCCAGGTTTGATCCTAGTCATTTACCTGGACCTAGTCCAAGATCAGTAATTCTTCTTGACTGATCATAAAGTTCATGGATTCAGATTTCCTTTCATAAAAGTTTGCTCTTCCAGCAACAACAACGGTTCGACGATCTCTTCAGGTTGCAGCTCAGTGGCCAGCTCAGCCTATGCAAGATCTTCACAGGGTAAAGGAAAATAGCCATTTTTTTTGATTCAAAAACTTTTCTAGGCTCTTCACTGACGCAAACGAATCAAAACGAAAACCATTCGGAGTCCGTGGCAAACACAACAGCAAATCCCTCAACAATCACAACTCCATCACGAATCTCCTCCCGCTTGCAACCGCCAAGCGCCTCACCGCTGAAACAATCGCAATTTGGATTGAATGTGAGTCAATTTAGCCTTTAACTGCTTCTATTGACTGTTCATGAGAAAATTCCAATTCAAGCCTAATTCCATCATCATTTTCTCAGCTATTTCTTATCCGATTCCTCTGTAATTTCGTCTACAAGTTGAAAATCTTGATTTCAATCAGTAAACAAAATTTCAGAAGAATCGCTCAAGAAACAGTTGAGAAATCGAAGGAATTTCGTTTGAGTTGCATATTTTCTATGTCTACTATTGACCGAATCGAATTTAAAGACGATGCTTTGATATAAAAATCGTTAAACAATACTCAATTGATATAAAAACTTGTAAAACAATATACATTTAATATAAAAATTTGCATTTGATCCAAAAATTGGATCAGGGAGGCAGGGGAAGGGGTCGAACCATGATCCTCTGAGTGAGAGTCTAGCGTGTTATCCTCTAGGCCATCAACGTAGTTTGTCGGGCCGTAGAAAGAAATGTTTTAAAGGATTCGAGTCAGCATTTACTGATTCTTATTGATTATTGATCACTAAGAATCAGTAAATTCTTAGTGATCAAGATTAATTCTTACGAGGGAACTACAACTACTTACCACCTCAGATCGACTCCAAAATTACAGGGGGGAAAGATCATCACAAAAGAAGAATTTTCTGAAATTTTTAGCTGCTAAATGCCAGAACTAACTGAAATATAAGCTTTCAAAGTTCAAAGTAGCTTAAACTTAAACATTTTTGGGACTTGCACGGCACTCTTTAAAGGGAACTCTTACAGGCACCCTCACAGGTTAGCCGAGTGGCCGAGTGGTTAGGAGCGCGACCTGGTAGTCCGAGTGTCGCTGGTTCGGCTCCACCCCAAAAGTTTTTCTTTTTTTGCAAAACCACATAATGTGCGTTCTATTTTTTTTCGCTTTTCAAAGTTTATTCTGATTTTTTTTACCATAAAAGGTGAGAAAGTCATCCGCGTCTTTCAAAGTGTGTCGGCAACATCTCACTCGTTTACCATGATGCCCCTGATCTGTTTATTAGTTTTAAATAAAGTTTTGTTATCCTCACCTTTTATGGTAAAAAATCAGAATAAACTTTGAAAAGCGAAAAATAGAACGCACATTATGTGGTTTTGAGGAAGAAGCGGCCGCGCGCCTAACCGGAGTGCAAGTTCCCTTTGTCCAAAAATGTTTAAGTTTAAGCCTTGGAACTTTGAAAGCTATATTTCAGTTAGTTCTGGCATTTAGCTGCTAAAATTTCAGAAAATTTCTTTTTTGATGATCCTCCCTGTAGTTCTTGGAGTCGCGTTGGGTTTTTGGTTTCCCCTGTTGGGCCCCTCCCCGCCTCTTAGGAAGGCGGGGAGGCGCCGGACCGTGATCCCTGCGAGTTGGAGTCTCGCGTGTTATCCACTAGGCCATCAACGTAGGTTGTCGGGTGGTAGAAAGAAGTGTTTTAAAGGAATCGAGTAGAAAGAAGTGGTAGAAAGAAGCGGTTTCATTATTGATATCATCTAAAATATCCAATTTTCAGGGTAAGTCTTCAGTGACGAAGACGACGATCACAAATCCATCAATTCCTTCAACAAGGAGCTCAGGTTCAAGGTAGATTTTTGCAATTTAAAAGAAGCAAAAAGCAGCAAGAGCAGCAAGAGCAGCAAGAGCCAAAAATCCTCTTTTAAAGCTGATAAAAGAGAATTTACAGCTATTAAATGGAAAACTCCATCGAAAAAACCTTATTTAACTTCTTTAGCTTATTTAACTTCATTTAAAAAGGCTTGAGATGACTAGTTGATTAGGTGTATATCTTTAAAAACATGGTGATTCTCGATTTGATTAATCGATACGATAAAAGATTCATTAATCTTTTTAAAAGTGCATTTTTTGTTTTTTAAAAAGTGCTTTTTTTTCATGAAATTCCTTGAATTCAATAATTTTTTGAAGAAAATAAACCAAAAACTGTATAATTAGTATAAAAAAAAGTTCATTTGAAAGCTTCTTTTATGCGTTAAATGCCCCTTTAATCAATACAAATAAAGAAACGATGAGAATTTGACATTCAGCCAACTCAAACAACCAATTCAGTCAATTCAGTCAATTCAGTCAATTCAGTCAATTCAGTCAATTCAGTCAATTCAGTCAATTCAGTCAATTCAGTCAATTCAGCCAACTCCATTCAACGCAAACAACTGGTCAACAAAAGATGCTCAAACTGAAGCTCTTCTCTAGAGATAAAGAGAAGAAAGGATCGCCGAAAAATAGCCCATTAATGGTTTCTTTTTCTTAAAGTATTTTAGTTATTTCCTAATTACATTTATTACATTTTAGCAAACAATTTCTGTTTTTTTTAAAGCCTAAAATCAAAAGCTAAAGTCAAAAGCTAAAATCGTTTTTGGAAAATATCGTTTGCTAGCATGTATTTCGCGACTCGATCGCGCATTTCTTGAGTATTTCTGAAGCATTTACCGTATTTCTCTCTAATAATAGCGCTCTAATAGTAGCACCCTAAGTTTTGCCTAAATTCCTTGAAATCTCGAGAACCGCTTATCAGAACCTATCGATGTGGGGTCGGAAAATGTAGGTGACGATGAGATCTTGTGGAGGAATAGAGTTTTAAGCTCTGTGAAAACTTTGAAACTGTAAAATGGTCATCAACTCGGCTCGGCGGGAAGATACTATTAGAGAAAATACGGTATCATAATACCTCTAATCGTAGCGCCTTCCCTATAATGACGGGGTATTGCCGCGTAGTCTAACTTTACACGCTCCGTTCTCCGCACTGTTTTATGCTACAGTGTGCGTTTGAATGTCAAATGATAGCTTTAGAAATCTAGAATCTAAAAATAGAATTTTTTTGGTACTAAAAGAGTTGGGAAAAGTCTAGGAGCTGAGAAGAACATGATTTTCTAAGAAAGAACTTAGGCTACACGACTGTACGCGGCGGAGAGGGTATAGGTAGATAAATAGTTTGCTAGATAAATAGATAAATAGTTCAATTTCCATTACGGTAGATAAATATTGGGTTGGTGGAAAAGTGCTTTCGGATTTTTTGGGAGAGTACCTTAAATTTGTCGAATTTAGACGTTTTATAGCTCATCCGAAAGCTGAATTCAAGACGGATCGATTGGTAAAAACCGTTTTGAGATATCTCTTTTCTAAAAGTTTTTACAGCTATTTTAGTAAAGGGCGGCAGAGCCAAAAAATAGCTGTTTTCACGTTTCGTTAGTTTTCCGTGCAGAAACCTAGGCTAAAAACATGTGTTTCGTGATCAGCGTCAAAAACAACCCCTAGACACAAATTTTCAGAATCTTAGCAAAAAATTTTTGACAAATATTGTCACCGGTGGAAGTCGAACCAGCGACCCTCAGATCAATAGCCTTTCCGCCGCTTTTCGCGATTTTCTCGTTTTTTGTTTTGTTTTATCATTGTTTGATGTTGTTAGAGGGCTTTTTCAGGGTACAAAAGAAAGAAAAAAAAAGAAAGAAAATCGCGAACGGCTATTGATCGGAGGGTCGCTGGTTCGACTTCCACCGGTGACAATATTTGTCAAAAATTTTTTGCTAAGATTCTGAAAATTTGTGTCTAGGGGTTGTTTTTGACGCTGATCACGAAACACATGTTTTTAGCCTAGGTTTCTGCACGGAAAACTAACGAAACGTGAAAACAGCTATTTTTTGGCTCTGCCGCCCTTTACTAAAATAGCTGTAAAAACTTTTAGAAAAGAGATATCTCAAAACGGTTTTTACCAATCGATCCGTCTTGAATTCAGCTTTCGGATGAGCTATAAAACGTCTAAATTCGACAAATTTAAGGTACTCTCCCAAAAAATCCGAAAGGACTTTTCCACCAACCCAATAATTCAATTTCCATGAACTTGAATTTCTTCTATTCTCTTCTAGAGTCGAAAAGTTGATCAAAATCCATCATCGGCTGGAAAAGTGGAGGTGTCAAAGCCGAAAACTGGCCTCAAAGCACCAACAAAGATCATAACGCCGAAGAAAGAGGTGAGACAAAGTGCAGCTTTGAACGGTATCGACGATTTTAAGTTCAAGAGTACTTTGTACTTATCGATAAACGCGTCCAAACACACCCTTTTCAGTGCACTCAACTCCTAGTTGAAGCTCTAGCTAAAATATATGAAAATACACGTTTTTATGCACTGTTTTCTCTCTTTCCGAACACATAGTGTGCCAAAGACGATGGGTTTCCATAAGCACAAAGAACATCTTTTAGAATTAAGCTATTAGAATCCATAAGCTATTAGAATTTCACTCAAAATTCTTTAAGAATGGCGCTTCGTTTTTCTCTTGATTGCGTAATTGAAGCAATCTCTTTCTTTATTCAATTCCTTGGAATCTTTCCCTTTTTTCGATCCATTCCAGATGTGTTTCCCCTTCACTCGAGGCGAGAAGAAAATTACCCATTTAACGATTTGAAAAAAAAGACTTAAAGCCATTTTTTTCTGCCTTTTCTGACTCTAAAATTACTTTTGCTTACGTTCAAAAAAGCCTTTTTAAAGCCTGCTTTTGTAGCATTTTAAAGTATAGAATTTCGAGCTTTGGTTATAGAAATGGTTTGCTTTTGATTATAGAAAAGAAAATTCGCTCAAATTCTGAAAGCCGACGAAATGCTTGGCCATTCCCAGTTCATGCTTTTCCTCAGCCTCCTAACAGTCACAGTACGCGTACATTACTAGTGCTATGTCAAGTGCTTAAGGCTTCAAACAACTCTAGATATCTACAGTAATCCTTGGCGGGGATTCAAAAGGGAAATCACTGGCTCAAATGCTATTCGATTTATAACATTCACAGAATTTGATGCTGATTCCGAATTTATATTCCGTTCTTTTCTAAATGACAATCTGCTAAGTGTGATAAGCGTTTAAAGGTTGTGCTCTAAAAATGTGAAAATTTCGATCTTAGCGGCTTCCTTGCGGTCTTTTTGCGGCTTCAAACCGGTACAACCGTGGCTAAATGGTACGCGTATATTCCATTTTTGCTAAATGACAATTTGCCAGAAATTATAAGCGTTGAAAATTTTTTTGAGGGTCTGAAATGTCTTAGCAGCCTCCTTGCGGCCACAGTTTAGTGCAGCTTTGGCTTAGGCTTTGGCCGACTGGTACATCGTTCGTTTCCAGCCGCGAGACCTCACGAGTTCGATCCCCAAGCTCGATCTGTTTTGCTTTTTGCTGTTGTAGGTGACTGGCCTCACCCCATGAAAACTAAGGAAAAGTTGATGGCGATTGATCAACTGTTCTATTGCTTTATATATGGCGATGTGCCAAATCGATGTGCCAAATAGAACACGATTGTGAACACAAAGAACACTCAGGAATTCTTGAAAAATCCAAAGCTAGGATCGAACTTGTGAGGTCTCGCTTTAGAAACGAACGCTGTACTAAAGGCAAATCTGCACTGAACTGTGGCCGCTAAAATCGAAATAACCAAATTTTCAGAAACTTTAGACCTTTATAACTTTTAGTAGATTGTCATTTAGCAAAAAAACGGAATACATTATCGGAATCAGCATCAAATTCTGTGTCAAATGGTATAGATCACATAGTATTTAACTATTTAACTGGCATAGTATTTAACTAGTAGTATTTAATAGTATAGTATTTAATTGGCTAAGTCAGTTAAATACTATACTATTAAATACTATCTAGTTAAATATCAAGTTGACCTTCTCTTGTGATTTAACTAGTAGTATTTAATAATATAGTCTCTAGAGACTTTTCAGACTCTAGAAAAACTCAATAAGTGACTAGAATTGGAAAAAACTGATTTAATCGTATAGTATTTAACTGGATAAGTCAATTGACCTTCTCTTTGTGATTTCAAGCTCTAGAAAAACTCAATAAGTGACTAGAATTCGAAAAAACTGATTTAATAGTATAGTATTTAACTGACTAAGCCAATTGACCTTCTCTTTGTGATTTCAAGCTCTAGAAAAACTCAATAAGTGACTAGAATTCGAAAAAACTGATTTAATAGTATAGTATTTAACTGACTAAGCCAATTGACCTTCTCTTTGTGATTTCAAGCTCTAGAAAAACTCAATAAGTGACTAGAATTCGAAAAAACTGATTTAATAGTATAGTATTTAACTGACTAAGCCAATTGACCTTCTCTTTGTGATTTCAAGCTCTAGAAAAACTCAATAAGTGACTAGAATTCGAAAAAAACCCAAATCTCCATTGCTTTATCTCTAAAATTAAGCTTATGAGAGATTTTTGAGTCAAAAATACTCTCAAGAACTTTTCTACAATATGAAAAGCTATTGAACAATTTTTTAAGCTATTAAACCATTATAATGCTTAACAAAGATCCCCACTAACGTTTTACGTGCACGTTACTTTAGGAGAAAACTTGGCTTTTTGAAAATCGTCACCGAATCTTTCTGAGGAGAGATTTGCCGTGTGATAGGATTTTCTCATATTTACTCTATTCAAAGAGATTCAAAGGCATTCATTCCATCTTTTTCCGCCCATTTGGAGTCTTCTCTTTCATCCACATCCTCAGGATTTCCGGTTTCAAAAATCTCCAATCAGTTTTTAGGTTTCAGCTCTATTAGTCAATAAGTTTTGTAAGTTTTGTAATTGTTTAACTATGTGACTAGATAACTAGATAACTAGGTAACTAGATAACTAGATAACTAGATAACTAGATAACTAGGTAACTAGATCACTAGGTAACTAGATCACTAGATAACTAGATAACTAGATAACTAGGTAACTAGACAACTAGGTAACTAGACAACTAGACAACTAGATAACTAGATAACTAGATAACTAGATCACTAGATAACTAGATCACTAGGTAACTAGGTAACTAGATCACTAGGTAACTAGATCACTAGGTAACTAGGTAACTATTTAACTAGTTAGATATAACTAGATAACTATGTAACTATTTGTAACGATTTTTATGATTTGATAAACTTTAGGTGCCATTGGTTCGTGCTCGACCCACTCCAACAACCCAAAGAACTCAAATCGAGATTGAAACAGTGGACAAGTTGGAGAAAAGGTTTGTAGAGAAATTATCAAGAAGAAATTAAGTTAAACTTAGAAGAAGAAGAATAACAAGAAGTTAAACTTTAAGATCTAATTCCTATTTGTTAGAAATTTCTCACTTTTCTTCTCAAGATTAGTAAAGAAAAATCTACTGGTTGCTAGCGGTTGAAAAATCTACTGGTTAATCTACTGGTTGCTACCTTGGAGCTCTCTAGCGATTCTCTAGCGATTTTAGAATTTCGTTTAGTTACTCGTTCAGTTATTATAAGTTTCCAAGAAAAAGAGCCCGTTCAGTCAAAAAGAAACCCAAACGCAACAATTTGAATCACTCTTTTGATCTCTTTTGATCTCTTTTTGATTTCTTTTCATCTCTTTTTGATTTCTTTTCATTTCTTTTCATCTCTTTTCATCTCTTTTCATCTCTTTTTGATCACATTTCTAACACTCATTTAAAAACGAATAAAATCGCGAAGAAACATTACACAATTGATCCCCTTTCTCTCTCACTCTTTTCGGCTTTATTTTTGTTGTTTGTGTGAAAAGAAATCTTTCTTTTTTTAAGCTAAAAGAGCTAAAAGAGCTGAAAACGAGATGGGAATTTGGATTTGAATTCGAAATTCGAAATTTTCCCTCTTTTTAAGCTCAAATTATAGCTTTAAGTATAGTAATAGCATAGTAATAAATCCAGTAAAGAGGTATTCCATTTTGGAAAATGTTTTCGTTGTTTTTGAAAGGTTGAAAGGAAAGAGCTTTTAACTAACTTTCAACGACTCTTAAATCCGGCTTTTTATTGGCATAACCAACAAAATGAATAGCTCCAAACGATCCGCCGACCCTGCAAAACCCTGGGTACAAATTTCTGGAACTAAATCTGATTTCTAGGCCATTCCCAAAGTAAAATAAAAAACCAAATCATGTTCTTTATGCGTGCTTTGTGCTCGCGCACAATTGCTCTCCATCTGGCAAACGCCCCTGGTACAAGATTCGTCCCTTTCGGCCTTCGCTATCCACCCCGTCCTTCACCGACCTTTATGCGTGCTTTGTGGTCGCTCACAATCGCTCTCCATCTGGCAAACGGCCGTGATACAAGATTCGTCCCTTTCGGCCTTCGCTATCCACCCCGTCCTTCACCGACCTTTATGCGTGCTTTGTGCTCGCTCACAATCGCTCTCCATCTGGCAAACGGCCCTGGTACAAGATTCGTCCCTTTCGGCCTTCGCTATCCACCCCGTCCTTCACCGACCAATCTCGTCGTCACTATACCCATATCTTTGCGATCATTTTCCCCTATGATCTCTTATTGCAATCAAGCTCGTTTTAATATCATTCAAAAGCTTGAAATCTCCTCTATTCAACGAAATAAAAGTCTAAGAATAATATAATCCCTGGACAAAGTTATAAGCTCTTAAAGCCAACCAGTCAACATTAAATCTACGAAACTTTCCTGTTTTCTTTCTTTTTTTTCTTCAATTTGGACTGGACAATAGAATTTTCTCAAGAAAAACTAATTTAATAGTAATAAAATATAATTTTCAAAAAAAAAGCCAACATAAAGTTTTTTTAGAACCTCGAAATCCTCTGAGGAAGACTCAGCGTACGCGGGTTTTGGCTCAACATCCCCAGCCTCGTCGACAAGCGCATCAAGCAGCATGTCAATTCCACAAAATATGGTAGATCTTTTCTGCATTCAAAGAAAATGAGTAAAATTTAGGATACGATAGCAAATGGAAAGAAAATCGATTCAGCTGATCTTTCATTGAGGGACAATTCACAGGTAACATTTACTGTAACTAGCACACATTGAATATCTTTTTCATTTTCAAAAGCACTCTAGCTAAAGCTAAAGGAGTACTGTAGCTAAAGCTAAAAGGAGTACTGTAGCCAGGTCACATAGAAATTCACCCTCTAATTTTAGCCAAAATCCAGTGTACTCTAGTGTTTGGATCTGGACCTGAACCTGAATCTGAGATCCAGGTCCAGACTCAGATTAAAGTTCAGGTCCAGATCCAAACTCAGATTTATGTCCACTCTCAGGTCCAGGTTTAGATTAAGGTTCAGATCCAGATCCAGATTCAGATCCAGGTCCAGATCCAGGTCCAGATCCAGATCGAGATCCAGGTCCAGATCCAGATCGAGATCCAGGTCCAGATCCAGATCCAGGTCCAGCCTCAGATTCAGATCCAGGTCCAGATTCAGATCCAGGTACAGATTCAGATTCAGCCTCAGATTCAGATCCAGGTCCAGATTCAGATCCAGGTACAGATTCAGATTCAGATCCAGATTCAGATTCAGGTCCAGATCCAGATCCAGATCCAGGTCCAGGTCCAGATCCAGATCCAGGTCCAGGTCCAGATCCAGGAAAAGGAGTACTGTAGCTAAAGCTGAAGGAATACTGTAGCTAAGACTAAAGGAGTACTGTAGCCAGGTCACATAGAAATTGACCTTCTAATTGTAGCCCAAATCCAGTGTACTCTAGTGTCAACAAATAGGATTACAGACGGAAGCTAAAGCTTGATTATCCAAGGATCTAGATCTAATTCTAGAATTGATCAAAACGCTGTACTTGAAATGTTTAGGAACGCGAAAAGCCGACAATGGCTGTCAAAGGGACAATCTCTACCCCAAAATCCCATTCACGAGAACAAATCGAAACCTTCGAGGCATCAAAAGACCCAAATTCGTCAACAAACCCAATGACGATCACGCTACAGAAAACCCTGCAAAGTCCCACCGTTGGAGTGGTCAGCCCGATGTTGGCTAATCGAAAGTTCGTCGCGCAACAAGGTCTGTTTAAATCAATCTTTGATTTTTGAGAGCTAGGCTTATAACAACAATGTTTCCTGAAACCAAACCAGGCTAGAGCCTAGCCAAAAATTTGCCTGACTTCAGAGCCGACCCTAAAATCCTGGCCCAGAACAAAGTCTGACTAAAAATCCAGATCCAGGTCCAGATCGAGATCCAGGTCGGATCGAGATCCAGGTCCAGATCGAGATCCAGGTCGGATCGAGATCCAGATCCAGGTCCAGCCTCAGATCCAGGTCCAGACTCAGATTCAGGTTCAGGTCCAGGCTCAGGTCCAGGCTCAGGTCCAGATCCAGATCCAGATCCAGTCAGACGCTCTACCACTGAGCTATTGGCGTTTTCTTTCCCAAGCAAAAATAGGAAAGCCAAGGAATATGGATGATATCCAAGTCTAGATCTGATTTCAGGCTAGATCAAGGTACAGGTCTAAGTACAGGTTCAGCTTTAGTCTTAACCTGAACTTGAACTTGAACTTGAACAAGGCAAGAGTCTTTGGTTTGTATCTGGCTTGACCTAGAAAGAAAATCTGGCCTGACCTGTACCTTGCCTGGTACAAGTCAGTTTTGTATCTGGCCTGACCTTGTCTCCAGAAAAAGCCTAAGCCTAAGCCTTACTTTACAATTAGCTTTTACAATACAGAAACTATGCTTTTGTAATTTCTTTTAAATCTTTCATCTTTCAAAATGAATTTCATTTAGAACTCATCGATCCGGTGCCCAGTAATGAAACGACCGAGTTTTTCGAAAAAAGAAACCGTAAGTCGTTTAAAGTGCTTTGTTTAAAGAGAAATTTCAGACCCGTTCCGAGTAGAACTTCAAAATTGAACCCTTCTACGGAAAAGGTAAGCAGATTTTGTTCTAAAGAGCTTTTTTTGAGAGTTAAAGAAGAGCTACCGTAGCTCTTTTCGAAAAGCTACTGTTTTCTAAAAGTTACTATGGTTTTAAAGAAACTTTAAAAAGTCTAGAAAGGCTTACTGTAGACAGGCTTAAACCATTTCGATGATGTTCTAGTAATTCGCTTTTTCAGAACGAAGCCGATGAACTTGTCCCAGCAATGGCGCCAATCCGACAACCGCCTTCATACGAGCAATTGTTGAATAAGAAACGGATTGGCACTTCGCATAAAGGTGAGCTTTACCCTCAGTGACTCTATGGGTGTACTTTATCAGTGTAAACATCTCCTTTCTGGCATACTGCAAGTTGAGCAAAACAGCTGTTTTCCCGTTTTAAGCACAAAGTACACGTGAAGTCTTTGTGCGCGTACTTTGTGCGTTCTTTGTGCGCGTACTTTGTGCCATACTTTGTGCTGTACTTTGTGCTGAAAAGCTGCTGCAAACATGTTCTTTCTGGCACAGCGAATCTTTTTCTTTTCTCATAAAAAACGACGAGGAGAAAAGTGAGGATTCAGAGCACTAGAAGGGGCGTGTTCGAGAGCTGATTGAGCACAAAGTACAGCACAAAGTACAGCACAAAGTATGGCACAAAGTACGGCACAAAGTACAGCACAAAGTCGAGCACAAAGTACGGCACAAAGTACAGCACAAAGTCGAGCACAAAGTCGAGCACAAAGTACAATGTTTTTTAGCTTTAAACATACCTTTTTAGCGTAGTGAATCCTTTTTTTTTGCAAATATAAGCATAAAATCGATTCAATGACTTTAAAAATCCAATAGGGCCTCTCGAAATGTGAAAATCGACTCATAAAAACCGCGCTTCAATGAGTCGGGAAATGAAAAAGGGGAAGAGTGTCGATTAACGACGGCATTTTAATGATCGAAAAGGCGGGGAAACGATGGGGCACAATGCGAAAGGATCACATGCGATCACATGCACAACCAAGCCATTCACATTCATCCATCCATCCATCCATCCATCCACCATTGTGCTCACTCTTCAGCTCGACCGACAGCTCTAATTGATTCCTCTGCTTTCGTTTTCCACAATTTTACCTCAATTTGGGTTTCTTTATAAGCGATAAGTTGTACGTCTTAAAACTCTGAGTCTTTTCTAAAAGATGTACTTAGGAGTACAGTAATCTAGAAGTACAGTAATCTAAAAGTACAGTAATCTAAAAGTACAGTAATCTAAAAGTATAGCATTCTGACTTTTCGAAAAGGTGGTCCTAGGACTACACTAGCTGACTACAGTAATCTTAAAAAGTGTATTAGATATTGTTATCCGAATCAAACGCTTTATAAACAGGCTACCGCAATTCTCCGAAAAGGCGAAAAGTACTCCAATTTTAGTGAATCCAGTTTAGAACTCATCCAGAAACTAGTGCAAATTTTACTGAATAGGATTACTTTAGTGAACGGATTACTGTATTGTTGCATCAATAATCATTTATCATGAAGATCATGGATCTCCCTTTTTCTAGAGGCAGCTTTTAGAAAAGTCGGTTACAAAACTTCAGCCTAAAGAGAGCCTAAAGCCTTGGAGAGCCTAAAGCCTACAGAGAGCCTAAAGACTAAAGAGAGCCTGAAGCCTAAAGCCTAAAGCCCACAGAGTGCCTAAAGGCCATAGGCCAAAAGAGAGCCTAAAGACTATAGGCCAAAAGAGAACCTAAAGCCTTGTAGAGCCTAAAGCCTTGGAGAGCCTAAAGCCTTGGAGAGCTTGAAGCCTTGGAGAGCCTAAAGCCTTGGAGAGCCTAAAGCCTTGGAGAGCCTAAAGCCTTGGAGAGCTTGAAGCCTTGGAGAGCCTAAAGCCTTGGAGAGCCTAAAGCCTTGGAGAGCCTAAAGCCTTGGAGAGCCTAAAGCCTTGGAGAGCCTAAAGCCTTGGAGAGCTTGAAGCCTTGGAGAGCCTAAAGCCTTGGAGAGCCTAAAGCCTTGGAGAGCCTAAAGCCTTGGAGAGCTTGAAGCCTTGGAGAGCCTAAAGCCTTGGAGAGCCTAAAGCCTTGGAGAGCCTAAAGCCTTGGAGAGCTTGAAGCCTTGGAGAGCCTAAAGCCTTGGAGAGCCTAAAGCCTTGGAGAGCCTAAAGCCTTGGAGAGCCTAAAGCCTTGGAGAGCCTAAAGCCTTGGAGAGCTTGAAGCCTTGGAGAGCCTAAAGCCTTGGAGAGCCTAAAGCCTTGGAGAGCCTAAAGCCTTGGAGAGCTTGAAGCCTTGGAGAGCCTAAAGCCTAAAGCGAGCCTAAAGTCTAGCCTAAGAAAAAAGCACAATCGAAATCTCGTGTGAACAACTTTTTCGGTTTTGGTGCCACCTAAATCTTTTCTAATCGTTAAATTACAGTATCCTCTATCTACCGTAATGACTTTTGATAGTAAATTAAGCATACGAATGCTTATGGCAAGCTTTGGTACACAATGCTCAATTCGTGTCTCATAATATCGAATCTCAAGTGCTTACACTGGGCTATATTCTTTCGATGATCAAATCATGACCGAATATTCGGGATTAGCCTCCCATTGTACAGGGAAATGGTGGGTAAAAGGGAAAAAGGGAAAGACAAGGTGCTAATATGCTTATTGCATTACCCTTTTCTCGTCGTTCTCGTCGTTTCCCCCCTTTTTTTTGCATCTCTATATCTAGGCCACTGTTTGAAGGAAAACGGGGGCAGATGTTCGTGTTCGACCACTCCATCCACCCGGAAATCTTTCGCCCAGCTCTAAACCTTTTTCTGAACACTTTTTACTCAATTCTTAAAGATTTTATGCAGTCTAAGAGTTAGCTAAATAGAGCTAGAGGACTTAAAGAGTCTTCTAGCTCTATTTAGAGTCCTCTAGCTCTATATAGCTAACTCTTTTCGGTAGAAAGTGCTTAAACGAAATCCCAATCTACTTTCTATGATTTTGCAAGTGAACCTAAGCTTGGCCTAGTTCTAATGCAGCTCTGCGCCACCTGGTAGCTGTAAAGGTACAGTGATCTGCGCCAATCTGCGCCAATCTGCGCCAATCTGCGCCAATCTGCGCCACATAAAAATCTTGACTCAAACCTGGAGCTCTTCTCAAGTTTCACGCTTGATTCAAGATCTCTGGAGAGTTTTTAGAGACTCACTCGATTTTAGAGCTATTTTTCTGTAGTCTAATGATCTTGAGAGCTAGATCTTGACAGCTAGATCTTGAGAGCTAGAGCTTGAGAGCTAGATCTTGAACCATTGATTTCATTCTTGAGCTAGATCTTGATTTCATTTTCACCTTTCCAATCAATCCATTCAATTCCAGGTTTTCCTGAATCCTCAACAACAGAAGAGTCTCTTCAATCGGTTTCAACGACGATTCGTCCTCTCACAACAACATCAAGAAAACCGGAAACGAATCAAAAACAACAAGCGTCACCTGGTAGCAGTAAAGGTACAGTAATCTGAAAACGATTTAAGTAATGTAATCCTTTTACTAAGCTCGACTTTTATCTATTTTCTTCAGCTCCAAGCGAATCCGGAATTGCGATTTATGCAAAAATGCAAGCAAGATGGAAAGAATGCAGAGAAAGAGCGACAACTGGTTTTTATCATGACAGGTTTGTTTAATGAGATTTGATTGAACTTTGAAATGAATTGAATGATTGAACTGAATGATTGAACTGAAGGATTGAACTGAAAAGCTGAACTAAAGGTTGAACTAAAGATTGAACTAGAAGACTGAACTGAATGATTGAACTGAATGATTGAACTGAATGATTGAACTAGAAGACCGAGCTGAATGATTGAACTAAACGATTAAGCTAAATGATTAAACTAAACGATTAAACAAAACGATTAAACTAAGCGATTGAACTAGAAGACTGAACTAGAAGACTGAACTGAAAGTCTGAACTAAGCGATTGAACTAAATGATTGAACTAAGCGATTGAACCGAAAAACTAAACTAAACGATTAAACTAATCGATTAAACTAAACGATTGAACTAGAAGACTGAACTGAATGATTGAACTGAAAGACTAAACTAAACGATTAAACCAAACGATTAAACTAATCGATTAAACTAATCGATTGAACTAGAAGACTGAACTGAATGATTGAACTGAAAGACTAAACTAAACGATTAAACCAAACGATTAAACTAAACGATTAAACCAAACGATTAAACTAATCGATTAAACCAAACGATTAAACCAAGCGGTTCAACTAAACGATTGAACTGAAAGACTAAACTAAACGACTAAACTAAACGATTAAACTAAACGATTGAACTAAATTGAAAGGCTCTTTTTCTGCACTGAATGGTCCTTTGTACTCAATTATCTAAACGCATCTTTCTTAGCTCTTTGCTAGCTCTTTTCTCTCTATTTCTAGAAAAATGAAGACAGCCATACGCTAGAAATATTTTATTTCCTTTTTAAAGCATAAAATACTATACTTTGTGCTTAAAAAACTTAAAAACAAGCATTTCAAGTGTTCAAGAGTTGAGATATTCAGTGCACTAAAAGGCGTGCGTTTCCAAAGATCTTAAAAAGATCAAAGATCGTACAAAGATCTTAAAAATAAGAGAATTATCTCAGAAAGTTTGTTGAGTTTAAAAGTTTAAAAGTTTAAAAGCTTTTTCCTTCAAAATCGAAATCCTTTTCATCGTTTAAAAATGAAAATGTCTCGAAATAGTGAAAAATATTGAATAGGGACCCTAGGGATTAAAGAGATACGATCTCTTCACCCTAAAAAGGCTTACTTTTACTCGAAAGGATTACAAATTACCCCCATCTTCTCGAATTCTAATTTCAAAACGAAATCCATCCAATTTCTATCTTTCTTTCTTTCTTTCTTTCGAAATCCCCGCTTTTCAAATGATTCATTGAAATTTTCATAAATTCAAATCTTTCTTAATTCTTAAGGATTAGGATTTGCATAAAGCTTTAGAAGATTTAGCTTTTAAAAAACTACAAATGAATGAGATGAGAATGAGAAATTGAGTGCACTAGAAGGGATGTGTTTAGCTATTCTTTTTGGCTTAGGCTTAGATTTTAAAGAAAACAGTTGGATGCTTTGATTCAGCTTAGCTGATAGATCCAGCTTAGCCTAGAGATCCAGCTTAGCCTAGAGATCCAGCTTAGCCTAGAGATCCAGCTTAGCCTAGAGATCCAGCTTAGCCTAGAGATCCAGCTTAGCCTAGAGATCCAGCTTAGCCTAGAGATCTCCAATTGTTCTCTTGTGCTCATTTTGGTAAACACATCTATCCTGGTGCATTTGATTTCATATCTTTACGACAATAAGGATATACTAATAAAGAGCTAATAAAGAAATAAAAAGAAAAATGAAATTTCCTTGGAAAGGATTGAACCCTCGAGCTCTTCGTTCCCCTGTTCGCTTGGTGTTCTATTGCTCTAGCCACTGAGCTATCTGATCCCTTGAACAGGCGAGAGAAAAAGGCAAACATAAAGGAAAAGAAGACGATTATTTTTTATTTACAATTATTTTTTGTGTAAACTCGTTTTTAAGGTTTTTATTCTTTATTTTGTAAAAGTTTCTAGAGAATTTTATAGTAGTTTTAAAGAGGAGATTCAGCGCTATCGAATCGCTATAATACTTTCGTTTTTCTTTTGAATTCAGCCAAAATTATCAGCAAAACAGAAAGGTACACTCAAAATATTGAATACTTTTAAAAACCTCAGTAAAATGAGCAATTCACTGATTTTATGCAATTCTTTATAAACAAAATTGACCTCTCTCTTTGTTTCTTTTCATTCGTTAACCGATTTCTTTTCCATTTTCATTCATTTCCCTTTTCATTCCATTTCCCTTTCTTGAAGTGTGCATTCAAGCGATTTCTCTTTTTTTTAAAGGAAAAACCATCAGCTGCCAATGAAAAACTCTTCAGAAAATTCTATAGATTTCCTTTTTTTTAGCTCTTTAAACAGTTACAAAGCTATTTTTCAAATTTACATTTGGAAAAATGATCTATAGCTCCTGTTTGATCTATAGTTCTTGCTTGATCCATAGCTCTTGTTTGATCTATAGTTCTCGCTTGATCCATAGCTCTTGTTTAAACTATAGTTCCCACTTGATCCATAGCTCTTGTTTGATCTATAGTTCTCGCTTGATCCATAGCTCTTGTTTGTTCTTATCATTGTTGATTACTGTACATTTAAATCTATCTAATCCTTTATCAAATTATCTTTAGTCAGAGATGTTAATCAGCTTTTTTTAAAGCCTTTTTTCTAAGCCTTTTTTCTCTAAAGAGTTTAAGCGAAGTCAACAATTGTCCAAATTGTAGCCAGAGATGTTGAATTTAAATCTAAACGCTTGAAAGTGAAGCGAATTTAGTTCAGAAGCTAGTTCCATTTGCCAACTTTAGCAATTGGCCAGTCATTTCTTCAGATTTCCCTACAATTTTCTTTTCAAGGCCGAATTTCATAACGCTTTCTTTGAATTTTGAGTGAAAAGAGATTGACAAGCCCAGCTGGCAGCTGGTTGCGCGCAAAATTGACGTTTTTTTCTTACCAAATCTAAAAACATTCAGGTTTTTTGCAGATTTAATCGAATTTTCGAATTTCATTTGAAGTTTTGGAAATGATTTGAATCATGTTTGAGCTATAGTTCTTGATTGAGCTGTAGTTCTTGATTGATCAAGAACTAGAGCTCTTGATTGATCTATAATTCTTGATTGTGCTGTAGTTCTTGTTTGATCTACAGTTCTTGCTTGATCTATGCTTGATGCTTGATCTATAGCTTGATGCTTGATCTATAGCTCTTGCTTGCTCTATGGTTCTTGCTTGATCTATGGTTCTTGCGATCTATAGCTCTTGATCTATAGCTCTTGCTTGAACTATAGTTCTTGATTGCTCTACAGTTCTTGTTTCATCTATAGTTCTTACTTGATCTATAGTTCTTGCGATCTATAGCTCTTGAGTGATCAAGATCTAGAGCTCTTGCTTGATCTATAGTTCTTGCTTGAACTATAGCTCTTGTTTGATCTATAGCTCTTGCCTGTTCTTGCCATTGTTGATTACTGTCCTTGTCTCCAACGAATCCAAATCGTTACCTAGACAAAAATGATCGTATACCTAGCTTTTCTAACAGTTAAAGTGTTTTCATTTTAACTGTTAGAAGACTTTTTCAAGTCACTAAAGTTAGACAAGTCAAAATTAGTTCTGCATTTCTCCAGCTAAATACTTTAAACAAAAAAGAACTTTGATATTCTTTCAATTTATTAATCAAGCTATTTTTCTATCCATTAATCTATCTTCCTCCTTTATTGAGTAGAGTTTTGAAGATTTCAGTTGAATCTTTTTCTCTATCAAAGCTATCAAAGCTGTCTAGCAAGTTGTCTAAGCTGTCTAAGTTTGTCTGTTTTCTCTAACGGACTTCTCACTGTGACAATCATCACTTGAACTACTTTTCTATAAAGCCTTGACCCCAATCCTTATTTCGATTGAGTAGTTAAAAATCTGAGTTGAGCCTCAATTCCCCTATTCACCCCGGCAACCATGAATATGCTAATGTTCGACTCTCTCGAAACTGAGCCCTTTCATTCATTCTTTCCTCTCAATCCTTTGTCATTTCATAAAGCACATATGTGCCTCCAGGCAAGTACGACTTTTTCATACACTTTTCGATACACTAAAAGTTGTGTTAGAAAAGTTGAGGCTTGTAATAAGATATCTATACTTATCAACAGTATTTTTATCTGTGGCACTACTTTACTTATCTTGCGATTCATTGATGTTATCTACTTAATAGCTTTGATGATTGATATATTGAATATATTGACATCTATTGTCTTTTTTAGTATATCAAGTTTACTTGCACTTTTAGCACTGTTAGTTCTATAGTAGATCTACAGTAGATCGAGAATGGATCTATTGTCGATCGACAGTAGATCAACAATAGATCTACAGTAAATCGATAGTAGATCGACAGTAGAGCTACAGTAGAACTACAGTAGATCGACAGTAGATCTACAGTAGATTGACAATAGAGCTATTGTAGATCTACTGTAGCTCTACTGTAGCTCTATTGTAGCTCTACTGTAGCTCTACTGTAGCTCTACCGTATCTCTACTGTATCTCTACTGTAGCTCTACCGTAGCTCTACTGTAGCTCTACCGTAGCTCTACTGTAGCTCTACCGTAGCTCTACTGTAGCTCTACTGTAGCTCTACTGTAGCTCTACTGTAGCTCTACCGTATCTCTACTGTATCTCTACTGTAGCTCTACCGTAGCTCTACTGTAGCTCTACCGTAGCTCTACTGTAGCTCTACTGTAGCTCTACTGTAGCTCTACTGTAGCTCTACTGTAGCTCTACTGTAGCTCTACTGTAGCTCTAATGTAGCTCTACTGTAGCTCTACTGTAGCTCTACTGTAGATCTACCGTATCTCTACTGTAGATCTACAGTCGATTGATTGACTCATCGCTAAGTTAAAGAATCTGAACTGAGTGCGGGTAATTGTGCGCCATCCTGTACTTGTCTTATGAATACTCGTCTTACAAATACTCGTCTTACAAGTACAAGTCTTATAGTACAGTACAGTACAGTACAGTACAGTACAAATTACAGATAAAACAATAGTCAAATCGATTTGTACTTG